CGAGGGGGGGTCGCCGCCGCGGTTGTCAATCGCCGCTCGCCCCTATTCCCGCCATCCACAGCTGCACGCCGACCACCAGCCTCTAGTTGCCGACCCTCACCCACAACCACCGCCGCAGATCTCTGCCAGCCACAACAGTTGCCCGTTGCCTGCCGCTCGCCGCCTGTTCGCCGCCTGCCTGCTCACAAGCAATGCTTTGTGCTTGGTGGAGCAAGGACGTTGTATACGTCATGGCGGCCGACAAAGCTTAATATTGGAGCGCACGTGGACTCGATCGTTTTATAAAAAGTATACAATCTTAAAAAAAAAATAAAGAATACTCAATCAAACATGTGTTATATTTTTTTATTTTTAAAAACATATAAATCTCAACGCATTTTCTAAAAACATAAAAAAGAAAATAAAATAAAAATAAAACACACTAAAAAAAAGAAAAACTGAAAGTAACCCCAAATAGGCCTTAAGCAACTATATAATACTAATTTCTGGGGCATTTTAAATAGAATTATTTTAGGTCAACAACCCTGCTTTAATATAAATGATTCAACCTTGGTAAAGGCTACAAGCATGCAAAGGATTGTGCTTGTGAAAATTATTGAATGAATTTGAAAAGCAATGCTTGGTTAGCTTCACAAATAACGCCCAAGCAAAATTTGAATCATACAGAAATTGAAGATTAAAGATGCTCACATTAGTGTCACTTAGCTCCAAATTGTAGAAATCCATTGCTTTTCTCTTGAGCAACGGTCCTGCATGCCAGGTTCCTCTATCAAGCTTTAAAAATTTTGTACCAGTTACTCGGAACACACGCACATCATCTGGGCGTGGTGGCACATAGTTATGTCCGCATTTTGATTGTATCCTTGTCTTGAGATTGTCATCGTTAAATTCAGCTCCTTCCAGAATTGAAGCCTTGGCTACACCAAGATACCATTCTTCACCAGTAGCAGAACCAAGGCACTGGGTCACACTTGCGTGATGAGTAATCTTAGAGAACTTAAGTTCTCGATCTTCAAGATGCATGATATAGAACCTACCATGACATTTGAATAAAATTTTCATTTGATTGCAAGGAATTTGCAGAATTGTTTTATTTTTGGAAAATATATACACCATTCGAGATTTCTCGTGGATGAATGTGATCTCTTAAAAGACTGCCGACTGCAGCTTCGAGAATTTTTTAAACATCACATGCATGCACTGATTAGACTGATAAGAGACGCAGATCAGCAAGGCAACCTAATCATTAGGCTTGTGTGCTGAAAGTTCTAGTTTGACCTTTAGTCTTGAAAGAAAAAAGTGTGTGTGTGTTGCTTTGTAATTTTTTATTAGGGCATTCGCATCAAGATCTCATAATTCTTATTTATTTACATATCTAACAACAAAACTTATATTTACCTATTAAATACTTGAATCTTTAACATCATATGAAAATACCACTAATATTAATTCTTTAAAATGAAAAACGCATTTAATCCATATGTTTAGTGTGATTATGACATTGAAGTGCTGTGCAAGTAAATACTAAAGTTTAGGTGTGACTTATAAATACATAAGAATTGTGCAAGTCAGATTTGTGGCTAAAAGCACTACTTGGTTATGAGTATAAGCTGTCATTCAGCGCAAGATTTTGATTTGGTAGGTTACCTAAAGTTACCCTTTTTCTAATCGAGGCTAAAAATTTCCCCCAATATGTCAATCAATGGCTGAGTTTGTCCAACTTTTATCATTGTAATGCGTCATATATTGATTAATTATCTTGTTTCTTCCAAAAAAGCTATTAATCCATGTGGTAAATCTTTTCAAATGGAATTGTGCAAAAAGAATAAATGTATAAGCACATGGGTCGTGATATATGAAGCTAAACATTTAGAAGGATATCGGCTATAACTCATATATCTGAAATTGGGAAATCAAGTTTTCTCGTGAAGAAAAAGGAGAAAAGAAAATCTCTTTTTAGGTTATAAGTATATGGCCGAAATCCGACCACGTTCAAGGCACAAAACCAACTGCTCCAAGGAGCTGAGTTCATCCAAAAGAACTTTTGAATTCGTATAAGACCTAAACTTTCCAGGAGAGCAACCAAACTTTCAGGAGAACAACTGAACTTATCCAGAGAAGATGGACGAGTTGAATTCTTCCAAAAGAACAATTGAGTTTGTCCAATAACTGATTTTTTTCTAGGAGAGCAGTTGAATTCATTCAGGAGCTAAGCTTATGAGAACAGCTAAATGTTGTGAAAAACGACGACAATAAAGCAAAAAATGGAACGAGAAAAATTGAATGCAGAAAAAACACCAGAGCGACACACAGATTTACATGGTTTGGCAAATTTGCCTACGTTCACGGAGCTGCAGAGAATTTTATTTCTTCGAGAAATTACACCGTCGAGTGTCTCGACGTTTACAAGAAAATCTTCATTTTCTTCTCTCCTTTCCTTCTCTCTCTCTCTTCCTCTCCTAGAGGATTTGGTTTGGTCTAGCTTGGCTTGCTTATGACAAGCCATAAGAGGCTATTTATAGAAACCAGGAGAACCATAGATGGGAGGTAGGCGAGCGGTAGGTGGGATGTGGTAGGTGAGCGATACGTGAGATTCTTAATTAGGAAGCTAATTAAATTGCGGTGGACCGAGTCTTCACATTACCCAATACTGAACTCATCCAAGAGCTGAATTCATCCAAAAAAACAATTGAGCTAGTCGAACATCTGAACCCCTCCAGCAAAGCAGCTGAGTTTGTCTAGTAGTTGAACTATTCCAACACAACTCTCCTGGGAGAACTCTCCCAAAACAACTTATTCTAAGAAAATAACTCATCCAGAAGAACTCCCCCATGGCCAAGTTGGATGATAGGGCATTACTAATTAGACTTGGATTTAATTTAAATCTAGCCAAACACCAAAAAAACAAAAACTAAATCCAACGTTCTGTTAAATTGAATTCCTTCCTGTTCCACTTCTTTCTATAGTGTTCCATCTCTTTTAAGACGTAAGTACGGATTTAATGAATCTGAATGATAGACAGATTTAAAATATTTACACCGTTGTTGCTTGTGACCCTCATTTTTGTCACAAGCTCACCGGGTTTATTGTATTTGATAAATCCTATTTAACATAAATCCGGCGCTGCAGCCAAACACTGCCTAATAGTCACACATAAATTTTATAAGAATAACTCCCAATATAAAGGGGATGAACAAGCATAAAAAGTGGTTCATTGGGAGGTCATTTATTAGATTGTGATTGAATATCACCATTTATGATCTTAGAGAAATAATATAGATTTTTCTCTTACAAATCCTTCTCTCAACTCACTCCACACTCTTGTTTTCAAGAACATCAAAATGAAGTATGAGTCTACATACAAATCAGGATTTAACAAGAAGAAAATCAAAATAAAGACAATTCTTTTGCAGCTGAACGCGATGACCGTGTTCATCCTCATAATCTAACCAGTAAATACAGGTGCACATTTAACGAATTCCACATACTTCACGCAAATAGAAATTCAAAACAGAGATATCAAAACAAAGGAACCGATCAAAACTCAAAACCCTAAAAGGAAAGCAAGAGAAACACAATGACCTCGGGGTTCCACGGTGGAGTTCCAATTGCGCGTCCTGCGGGCCAAAATTTTGCCCATCAGAAGCAGCAGATATCACCTGGCCGAACTCCGCGAAGCTTACCGGCGTCGCATCGATAGGCTGGAGCTTGATCGTCTTCGCCATCGTCACACCGCCGTCGAGGGAAGAAGTTATCGGTTAGATGAAAAACTAACAGAGCAAAATACAAGCAGAAGTGCGGACAAATTTTGAAAAACGACTTCTTGCTATCCCTCCCTTATGCAAAGAATGGGCTTTCTCTTCTGAGGGTCTCTTTGGCAGGTACAGCCTTGTCCATGTTATCTAAATAAGTGGGTTATCCTGATAAACTGTTGATTCGGATAAATTGTCTGACTGTTTGGCTTGTGTATTTGAAAATAGTTGATTCTGGATAAATGATTATTTTGCTCCTGAAATGAAATTATAAACAGATACACATTTAAAGAAAGCAGAATTAATAGTTGGCATCCTTCATGATATAAAATTATACGTATATATCCATTTTCCGGTGAAAATCGTGGCAGCCAAAGACATCGGTCGAATTTGTTGTAAAAAAAAATTATTACTTCAGGAATGATGCTCTGGTGAGACGTCGGATTTCTACGAGATGAAGAGGAAAGAGGCGAGACGAACGAGTTTCTGTCGAGCGAGGGGGCAAGTCGTGCGAGGGAGGCGAGGCTGAGCATTGTTCGGTGCAGAGAGGAGAAGAGATGAGTCGGGCTTCGGTGCGGCAGGAAGGAGTAGAGCAAGAGGTCTTCGTTGTAGAGAGGAGAGGCGAGTCGAGCTTCGATCGGAAGAGGGAGGCAGATGAGCGAGGGCAGGCGAGCAAGGTCTCGGTCGTACGCGAGAAGGAAGCAAGCAAGCACTACGTGGTGAGCGTGAGAGGGCAGGCGAGCATTACCAAGCGGGGTCCTACCCGCGATTCGTGTTTAATATAAGCCTGTGAATGACGTTTTTAAAAACGTTTTCAAAACACATTATCCAAACAGTCGGTGGCGTTCTCAAAACATCACCGCTTTGAATAAGTTCCCCCAAATGCACCCTAAATCTAGATAACATCATGAGGAGTCGAATTCAATCTAATTAACCAGTTGTTTTTGGCTTAGGGCTTTGCCAAAAAATTTAAAAATAAAAAATAAAAACCGCTTATGTATATATATACATATATTGAAAATTTTGAATGGGGAGAGATCTTAATAGCATTGGATCTGGGCCTAATCTGAATCGGATTGGATCAATTATGGTATCATAAAGTCTGAGTTCAGCTCTAAATTTGTTGAAATTAGAGTTGGATGATTTTTAATTAACTCAAAATTCATTCCACGTCTTGAGTTGGATGAAACCTCCAAGTTTAACTCCGAAGTATTGAGAGAGTTTTTCATTTGGATTTGGACTTTGGAGAAGTGGTGGCGTCACTAGAGGATCCTTCATGTTCCTGAATGCTTGTTCACACTCATCTCACCACTCAAAATTCTTTACTTTCCTTAACATTTTGAAGAGTGATCCACATTGCTGCTTAATTTGAAGAAAGGGGCTCAGAGCCTCGATACAATTGACTTTTGTGTTTCGACGGAAAGGCATGTTCAGTAGTTTAAGTACTTTTTCCAGATTGGTTTTTAATCATTCTAGAGTCAATAGATGACTGAGAAATTTGCTTGTTTATGCACCAAAAGTGCATTTGAGTGGATTTATACTCATGTTATAATTTCTAAGTGTTTCACATGTTTCTTTGTTGACCTCACTTTTGGTTGAGATTTAGTTTTTCTTCTTTAGTAGCCTAAGGTCTAGCCATAGGACTTTCCTGTTGACTATTCCTAGAAAACTCAAAAAAGGAACCCTCACCATTAGAAACTCTAAAATTTTCTTTGCTCAACTTGAAGTTTCACATATTGGTCCTAACCTCTAGCACTTAGTAGGTGAGGTCAGTATGGAGGATCTGAAGAAGAATCCCCATAGTACTACTTGACCTTAGGGTGACCTTAGGGTTTTGGTCTGGAGCTAGTTCACTCACTTACACTCACTATCACCTAGATCCACTTACAACCCTAAATCCAAAATTGTTGACTTTGATCCCTTGATCTTTTGGGAAACTCATGTAGATGGTCCCCTAGACCCACTGACCCTAGGCTAGGGTTTAGCTAAGACCAGTACATAGAGGACCCAAATAGGGATTTCATTGGTCCATAGATCATATAAGGTGGTTGGCACCCCAATTTTACCAAAATATCCAACTTGAGTTTTTGCCCCCAAATCCACTCAAATTACCAAATACCCCAAAATTTGAAAAATACCCTCAAATTTAAAATTACAAAAATACCCTTGGTGGTCCAAACTTTTCCAAAACATCCAAAATCACTTCAATTGTCTTCAAAACCAATTTGGACCCTTAAATTGAATCCAATTTGGTTAATTTGACCATTTTGACCAAAATCCCCAAATTGTCTTTAAAGGTCCAATTTCCCCAAATGTATCCTAAATGTCCATCAATTTGGCCCCAATCCTCTCCAATTTCAACTCCAAACTCAAATTCATCATTCATATCATCAATCCAAACCAAATCCAAGCTTAATTGACCCATGTTTTGAGCTCAATTTTGATCCAAACCAAAACCCTCAATTTTAGCCCCATGATCTAATCTCACATAATTGAACCCCATGCCTATTAAATTTGCCCCAATTTGAATCCTAAACTCTTTAGCAATCATACACATCAAATTGGACTTACAATTGGCCATTCAAGCCTCAATTTCACTCAATTTCAACCCACATTCAAAATCCTCAAAATTGCCCCAAATTGATTGTCCTCAAATTCCACCAAATTGAATGCCCTAACCTCAAAATTGACACCCAATTGATGTTGAGAACTCTTCATGAAATTCCTATAGATCATTTTCAACCATCAATTTGGACTTAGCCCAACCTAGACCCAAGTCTATCCCAACACCCCCAAATTGACCAAATGCCTAAAATCCCTCAAATTGAACCTCCAAAACAATTAAAAATCACTCCAAATCTTTTCAAAACTTCTTGTGACAATCATTACACAATATTGACCAATCAATATACCTCAATGTCATGGCTAGACTAACCCAAACCCAACTTCTTGCCATTTTGACCCAAATTGAACCCCTTCCCCAAAATTGGTTTAGCCATGCCTAAGCCACCAAATTGACGACACCACAGCCACCAAACACACCCTATTGACCAGGTTAAACCCCCTTAAACCAGCTTGGTGAGCTATGGACCAAGGGTCCCCTAATTTAAGGGATCTTATCCCATTTATGGGCCTTAACCAAAATATCTCCTCCATCATCACTTGTCATTGAGGGTTAACCATAATTTGGCTCACCTGACCACCTGGCTACCACCCTGGACCTGTCGGCCGGCCTAGTGGCCGGAAAATGCCAAAACTGAGAGCCACCACCCCTAAGTAAAACCCAATTCGAACCCTATAGGCCAACTCATCCTAATGACTCTTTAGAACTCTTCTACCCTCTACATAAGTAGCTTATTGCACTCACTAATTGGCCCTGAGCTCCACCTCAAGCCCCTCTATAAAGACTCACCTCCTCCATAGCTAAAGAGGAGAGTTCAAAAATCCTTGGGGAAACTTTGCCAAAATCTCACCAGAGACACTCCAAGCATCCCTAAGCTTAATCCAACCATCTTCCCCTTCTGATTCCCACTGTAAGAGCTCAATTTTGAGCTCAAACTTTCAGCTTAAACCGAGACATCTCAAACTGAGACATCTCTCCACAGTCCACCAAACTCAAATTAATTGTGCACACACCATTCCTAAAGCAAGATGAATCAATTCACCACAAAAGCCTTATCACATATAGCCTTTAACCTTGCTCTAAACCAATACCTAAAATCAGCCTTGGTCAAAACAAAATCCACCTTGATCAAAATCATATCTAGACAATTCACCAGGGCACAAGGCTTCATCTGGAGGTTCGTTGGACCCAATAGAAGCTACCAAAACCATCTGATTGAGGTCTCCCCCTCTCAGACAAAGGTATTGAGCTCTAACCCTAGCCTGAGCTTATTTTCATTCTACATTTTTAATGGCTTGACCTCATACTTGATTAACCATATAGATGTGTTCGTCTTGAGTAGATGAAAGTTTATAAACAAACCCCATGTGATTTGGTTGAGTCTAGACGAATATCTTAAGGTTTTAGTGTGAACGGCTTACAGGTTAGGTCACTTGGGGACGATAACGGAGAGTCATCTGATCGCGTGTGTATCTAACAGACGGAGAAGATGGAGCCGGACAGACTCTTGGTGTGTGAACCGCGGGCCGCGTGACAACTGAGGTGGATGGCAGCGACGAATGGGAGCACACCGCGTGTGAGTTCGGAGCCGTCGTAGTTTGAGTTGGCGTCGCGTAGGATAAGTAGAAAAATATGGATTTTCTGAATTATTTTAAATGCCTAAACTTCAAAAATCCATATCTTTCTCTAAAAAATCTATAAAAATAAAATAAAAATACCCTCTTGCTCAGTGAATATAGGAGAATAATGTGGACAAAAATAAAAATTATTTTCTTATCTAAAAATTATTTTCTTATTCCTTGTTTTTTAATGAATTAAATACCCTATGAAGTATTTTAATTTATTATGATCAAACTTTGTTCACCATGGCTTGAAATTTTGAGGGTTTGTTTCTCATTACAGAGACTATGTCCTTTTAATTAAATACCCTATGGAGTATTTTAATTCATTATGTTCAAACTTTGCACACCATGGCTTGAAATTTTGAGGGTTTGTTTCTCATTACAGAGACTATGTCCTTTTATTTTTCCAATGTCAGAGGACATCTCTATGCTTCTAGCCTTAATTTTCAAGCTAGGATGACCATTTTGGCTTATTTTAATTATATAAATTACAGGATCATTTGGAAAATTATGGGAGAAGTCTAGAAAAAATATCATGATATCTTGAATTATCTTGTAAATTTATATATTTAATTAAATATAAATATCTTGTGTTAATTTTTGTAAATTATATACTTATAAAAAGTTTGACAAAATCAATCTCACATTGTTTATAAAAGTCATGTTTATCCACTATAAAAATTTGAAATTTATTTGATTAATTTCAAGTATTAAAATTGATTTTCTAATAAACCTTGTATTTTTGTACAAAAAAAAATTAATAAATTAAACACACTTGGAAAAATTATGAAAAATGATTTTCTGAATTCCTTGTGATAAGACACACTTGGGAAAAATAAAAATTATTTTTTTAGAAAATACC